CCCCTCTCTCTCTCTCCCCCTCTCTCTCTCTCTCTCTCTCTCTCTCTCTCTTCGAGAAACGAATCTTCCCGTGAAAGCGGGAAGATCCGAGTCGTTTCATGAAGAGAGAGAGAGAGAGAGAGAGAGAGAGAGAGAGAGAGAGAGAGAGAGAGAGAGAGAGAGAGAGAGAGAGAGAGAGAGAGAGACGGCACGCCAAGAAGCAACGACGGTATCTTCTTTTATTTCGATTTTTTAATTGGGTTTATAATTATTTTTTTTTCGTGAGTAACACCCCGTACTTGGCGGGCTCCGGCCAAGGAGCGACCGGGCCTTCCCTTGGCCGACCTCCCTAAGGCTGCGGCGCGTATACAGGAAGGCCCGCGGCCGATAGCCGAGCGAGGTACTGGTGGTTTAAACACCAGTACTTCCTAAGGTCGTGCCCGTATACAAGCCATGGCCAAGTACAGGCTAGAAACGTACGGAGCAGTACAGGAGCACCGAAATTCATCAGACTGGAAATGTTTCTACTCTATTTTCTTTTCCGCGGCCGATAGCTGGTTGAAGTACCTGGTCATGTAACATTGCAGCCATGGCTTTTGTGAGTTTAGTAAATGTACGGGACACTGTGGGAGCAGCCAAATTCATCCGACTAGAACTCTACTCTATTTTGTTCCAAGGCCGATAGCCGATAGTTGGGCCAAGTACTGATGGTTTAAAATGGATTTGTGAGGAAGGATGACACGTAGATTGAGAAGTCGTCCAAACTATTAAAAAAAAAAAAAAAAAAAAAACGGTTCTCTTCCTTGGCTTTGGTTATCCCCCTGCTCTATAGTGGCAGGGTGGTTGGGAGTAGTGTTTTTCACACAGACTACCTTGAAACCACCAGAACCTGTGTGCCTAGGGGAGAAAGAAAAAAGAAAAAACGTTCTTTTAAAATTTCAAGTTGTTAAAAAAATAAATAAATAATAAGTTGTTAAAACTCCCCCCCACCCCCCGACCCGCAATCCGGATGGTCTGCAGCAGTCCAGACACGGGTAGGGCCGGACGTCTGGACTGGTCTGGTCTCCGGTTGGTCTGCAGCAAAACCATGGTTTTAATGCATGTATACTTTGCGACGATGGACGTACAAGTTTTAATCAATTACTCAAAATGAAAACAAAGGAAAGTAATCACACCCTACCCTGTATGCACTCTCAGCCGGCTCTTTGTTCGTAAATAAGGGTCCATAAAATCGATTTGTGGAATTTTGCTCAGGTAACTCGAATTGAAAAGCAAGGTACTGCACCCTTGCACCACCGGTATGTGTCATAGCCGTTCTGGAAGAACATGGACGTGCAATGTGTGCAGCCTCTGGGGGTACGTAATGTCTTCTTCCACGTTGTAAAAAAAAAAAAAAAAAAAAAAAACATGGATGAACTTGCTGTCTGGTGGCAGGTATGCCGCTCCATCCCTCCTTGCGTGGCGTGTGCAAACCCGTACTCGTGGATGGGCTGCGTTAAGTTCAGGTGGTGTAAAAGACTGGGGGCTGGGAGAAGCTCGGTTGGTTTAAACCTCTTCTACTACCTCCAACCCTGTTTTCACCGACCCTGAATTTCAGTGCGCACCAAGTTTTTTTTTTTTTTTTTTTTTTTTTTTTGGAGAAAATTGCACTTTTCATTCCAATGAGATCACTGAGGCCCGGGAACACACCCCTACATGTCAACCCGGTACGAAGCTGCCGAGGCTAATACTCGGCTTAGGCTACTGGAAACCATGTCCAGTGTTCCTTGAAGGAATCTCCGCTGAAAATGAGAAATTGCAAAGCAAATCTATGGCAGTATAATATATGCTTGCTGCACAGGAAACCACTGGCATGTTTCGAGGATGGAAACACTATTGGCAAAGAACTACGGGCCATAAACTGTAAATCGCGAAAATGCACAAGGCAATTCACGGAAAATTTACAAAAATTTAACCCAAAAGAAAAATATTTGCAAAGGCAGACTAAATACCTGGATACAATTCAATTCTAAAATTCAGTCTAAGTACGTACTAATTTTAATCTTAACAAAAATTGGGACTCAGGTCACTCAGTGTATTTGCAAAGGCAGACTAATATTTGCAAAGGCAGACAGAAGGTAAACGGTTGAGAACAGCCAAGAAAACAACCCCCCAATATAGAGAGTCCAAGGGAATTCAAAGGGAGGGAGAAGTGGATAACCGTGCCCACAGAATATATGAGTGGAGAAGATACTAGCGAGATTTTCCAGGTGGCATAAAGTTGAGCGTAGAACACTCCCCACACCCACACCACTCAAGGAATGGGCGAGCCTGTGTCACTGTTCCTATTCTTCAAGATCACCCACTCTTAGAAAGTAAACGGCAGTGTAACTCCAAACGCGGTTATGGCTGAAAATTATTTTACCCTTCGCGACCGGGAAACTTCCCGCCGCCACTAGTGAATTTCCCACTCCTGCTGATGGCGCTGCCACCCATAGGGCTTCAGGGCTTTATGATCCCAGCAGAGATCTCATCCCTTCATCATATTAATTTCCCAGATTCTACCGTAGGCATGTACTAAGTGGTAAATAAAAATATGCGCAGGAGTTCCCAGGATGACCATAGGTCGAGCGTAGAACACTCCCCGCGCCACTCAAGGCTTGGGTGACCCTGCATCACTGTTTCCTGCGCTTGAAGAACAACCACTTTCGGAAAATAAACTTCAGTAGATCCCGGTAGGCAGAGTGTCAAAACCTTTGCTAACTAATATCAACTAAGCGCTCTCCGTAGTTGCCTATCTGCATACTTGGCTCTTACTCAAACCATAAGCCCCAAAATTCAGGGTTTTTCGCCACATCACTACAAGCAATATCGCGGAAAATTTTGCGAACAAACTATGCAGGCTCATAATAGAAACATCAGAAAACGAAACAGGCGAAAACAAACAAAAAAAACAAAACTCACAAGGACTATAAAACCCTATTCGGGGTAACTTTCGGAGTTCGCCAAAATTTTCCCCGAATTCGGTGTTTTTGCCAACTTCTTCGTTACTCGTCCAAATGCGCTGAAACTGAATACAGATATACCCTCAAGCACATACATATCAGACAAAAAAAAAAAACCTCTGGGAAATATGGCAGTTTCGGTGAAAAATTTGCCGAAAATAGCACCACCCATTAACCACGAGTGCAAGTCTGTCGATGCGACCAACCGGAAATAATTCTACTGACACTGAGAGAATCGCCAACAGCAGAAGCGATCCCAAGAATCTACGACGCAGACAACACTCGAAAGAAGAAGTGAAGTACCCAATCATAATTCCAGAAATCTACAAGATATCAGACTATAGAAACAATTGCGACGCACAACCAAAAGCCCTAACCCACGCTGCTAGTAGATCAAGAAGGTCCAGATACCAAGAACCGCAAAACCTAACCAGCGCTTGAGAACTTCGAGAACCTGTGAATGGACGGACATATAATTCTGGAAAATTGTAACATCAGGCACAAATCACAAGTCCTAGCCTCAGCGCAAAACGACTGAGCACAGCC